CCCATAACAACTGGATTTAAAAGAATAATTTTTTTTTCCTTTTTTTTTTTTTCTTTTTTTTTTTTTTTTTTTTTTTTTTTTTTTTTTATATTATTTTTTTTATTTTTTGTTTTTTTTTTTTCCTTTTTATTTTTTTTGTCTCTTTTTTTTTTTTTTCTTTTTTCAAATGTGTTTTTTTTCCCTTTCCTCCCCGGGCCCCAATTCCCCTTTTCCCCTTGCTTTATTTCTAAAAAGCTGGTACTTTTAAAAATTTAATAAACAAAGTATAAAAAAAAAAAAAACATTAAAGTGCTTTGGCCCCCTCATTTGCCCCCAAAATGGGCCCCCCTGCAAAAAAGAGAAAGTTGGGCAAGAGTGCAGAGTGTTTTCCCAAAAAAAATGGTCATCCTATTTAATCCGGAATTAATGGGAAACTGTATGTTTTGGGGGGTGGGCAACAAAGTTGCAGTGCTGAAAAAATTTAAACCTTTGGGCGCCATATGTTTAGTCTTCATGGGCCCCCAAAAATGACAACTTTCCAAAGGGCAGCGGAGATGAGAGAAGGTGAATTAATTTTGGCGGGGGTCTGAAGAACCCCATCTGTGTTTTAAATCACAGCCAACATCAGTTACGCTGCAGTGAAAGCTAGCCCCCTCATTTCTTTAAAAGAAAACGCAGTGGCTTTTAAAAACCCTTTTTGTGAGGGGGAATTTTTTAAAAACATGCATTATGAAGGCACGGAGATTTTGTGCCCCCGAAAAAACGGCAGGGTTTTGCAAATACAGCCTCAAAAAACAGTTGCGACGGGTTTCCGTCTTTCAGTGTTTTTGGACGCCATTGAAAAAAAAGTAAAGTCATTTAGCGTTTTGGGTTGCAATTGATAAAAAGCAGGGGACATTAAGATGTTCAAAAACTGGCCTTTTTTTCACCCGCGGATTGATGACAATGACCGTCACCGAGGGTTCGTGGAGTTGTGCCGATGACAGAACCACAGCAGCTGAAATTTTTACCGCACTCGTCGGCGTGCTGGACAGGGTCGGAGTGGACTGGTCCCGCGCTGTCAGCCTGGCTACAGATGGTGCGCCCTGCAATGATCGGGAAAAAAGCAGGCGTTGTGACAAGTTCAGAGAGAAAGTGCAATCTGCAAATGGAGGACGTGGATTTGTTGACTTTTCACTGTATTTTGCACCAGGAGGCTTTGTGTTGCAAGTCATTAAAGATGGATAACGTCATGAAGGTGGTCATCCAAACTGTTAATTTTCATCCGATCCAGAAGCCTGAATCCACCGTCAGTTTGACAGCCTCTCAGAGAGAAGACCACATCTATGGCCTGCCATACCACACTGAGTGTAAGATGGGTTAAGCCGAGGTGCTGTGCTGAGCGCTTCTTTGATTTACGAAGAAATTGAACAGTTCATGGAAGAAAAGGGCAAACCAGTGTTAGAATTTCATTCCGCAGAATGGATGCCGGACCTTGCATTTATGGTGGATGTTACAGAGCACCTGATAACCTGAACAAACAGCTGCAAGGGCGCAACAAAGTTGTTCACGCAGTATTATGACAGCATACGTTCTTTCAATTGAAGCTTCTTGTGGGAGACGCAACTTGCCGGTGGTGATGCAGCTCACTTCCCCTGTCTGAAAAATGTGTGTGCGACCCAACATGTGGCAGACATGAAGCGGTTCAAAGATAAAATAACGGGACTGTTACGGGAGTTTGAGCAACGCTTTCAGATTTATGTACATGTTTTTATGTTGATGTGCTATTGTTTTTAATTGTTTTTATTTATTTGTATATTTAACCTATTCTTGACTCTGTGGTTCTTGCACTTGTTTGGGGAACAGGATTTCATTCTTTTTATCTAATTTACCCCCAGGGGAAAAGAAAATGACACCCTTGATATGGGGTTCCCCTGGGGCCCGGGGTGTTACTTCCCTTTTTTGGGCCCCGGAGGGGTTTTGTTTTTTTTTGGGTTCCCCCCTTAAAAATTAGGGTTTTGAAAAGGAAATTTGGGCTTTTGGGCCGTCCCCCGGGATTTTAGGTTTATTTTTTTAGGGGCCCCTTTTTTTTAAAAGGGAAAGGAAACCCACGCCCCCGGGGGTTCCCCTTCCCTTTTTTGGGGGAAAGGATTTCAATTTTTCTACTTTGGGGGGGGGAATTCCCCCCCGGGAAAATTTCCCCTGGGGTTGTAAAACCGTTTCTGGTTAAAAACCCCCTAAAAGGGCCCTTTGTGGGGGTGGTTCTTTTTCTTGGAATTTTAAAATTTTTGGACTTTTGGTTTAGAAAACCCAATTTGGTTTTTTTTGGGGGGCCTTTCCTTTTGGGGGAAACACCTTCCCGGGGGGGCCTAATTTTAAATGGAAAGGAAAGGGTTTTAAAAACCCAAAAAAAATCGGGAAGTTGGGTTTTGGGATAATCCAGGTTTTTGGGCCCCCACTTTGGGGAAAAATTTCCCCAAAACCCCTAGTTAAAACGGTTTGCCCCCGTTAAAATTGCAATTCGGTACAATTTCCATTATTTTAAAAACCAAGTTTGCCCCTTGGAGTTGTCCAAAGCTGGGGCCCCTTTTAAGGGGCCCCCATACCCTTTTTGGCCTAAAAAAAAAAGGGGTTAAATTTTTCCCCCCAAGGGTTATTCCCCAATTGGCCCAAGAAATTTTGGCCACTGAACCCTCCCCCCGGGCTTCCGGGAGGGGGCACGGTTTTGAAGAAAAATTTAATTTTTGTCCCCCCCGAAAATTTCCCCCACCCAAAAAACCGTTTTTCCCCGGCCCCCCCCCGGAGGGGCCCCGCCCCCCCAATTTGCGGGGGAAACACTTTCCCGGGCCATGGGGGGTTTTCCAGAAATTTTGCAAAACGGGTAAACTGGGACACCAAGGCCCCTCCGGGGTTTCCCAGGTGGACTCCGGGAGTGGTTTGTTGGGGTTTTGCCCTGGGGAAAGGGGGGGAAAAACCCCCAAGTTTTCTGGGGGGGCGTGCGGGTTTTTTTTTTGGGTCTAGGGATCTTGCCCCTTGCTTAGTTTTTCCCTTTTCTTTTTACCGGGGGCCCCCCCGTTTTTTCCCTTTTTTGCTCCCCAAAAAAGGTACGGGCCCCCTATCCCTTGTTTTTTGGGGGTACTAATTGTTGATTTGGATTTTCCCCCCTTTTTTTAGGGGTTTTCCCCTTGTTAAAAAATAAGGGAATTTGGCTAGGTTTTAATTTTTGTAGGTTCCCCCCCAAAAATAAAAGCTTTTAAATTGGCAAAAGTTTGCTTTTCCCCCTTTTGGAGTATTTTTTTTTAGTGCTTTTTTTGGGAAAACCCAGGAGAAATTGTTTTGGGGTTTTTTTTTTGGGGTCCAAACTCCCTTCCTCTGGGTTAAGGGGTTAATCCCCCAAGTTTTCCACCCCCTTACAAGAGTTAAACCCTTGTAACTTTTTTTTAAGTCACCTTTGGGCCCTTTCATGGGAAAACCCCCTGAGGGGTTTTCCCTTCCTCTCCAGAAATGGTTGGGAAAGGGGACGCCTGTTTTCTTTAGTAAACGGGGTGTATTGATACACCATCCAAAGTGTCATTGATAACTTCACCACGCTCAAAAGGATATTCAATGTCTGCTTTTTCAATTTTTACCCATCTACCAATAGGTGCCCTTCTTTGCGAGGCATTGGAAAACCTCCCTGGTCTTTGTGGTTGAATCTGTGTTTGAAATTCACTGCTCGACTGAGGTACCTTACTGATAATTGTATGTGTTGGGTACAGAGATGAGGTAGTAATTCAAAAATCATGTTAAACACTATTATTGCACACAGAGTCCATGCAACTTATTATGTGGCTTGTTAAGCAAACGTTTACTCCTGAACTTATTTAGGCTTGCCATAACAAAGGGGTTGAATACTTAGTGACTCAAGACATTTCAACTTTTCATTTGTTATTAATTTGTAAAAAATTTGAAAAACATAATTCCACTTTGACATTATGAGGTATTGTGTGTAGGCCAGTGACACAAAATCTCGATTTAATAAATTTTAAATTCAGGCTGTAACACAACAAAATGTGGCAAAAGTCAGGGGTGTGAATACTTTCTGAAGGCACTGTATGTGCAACAAGTCATCTCTCTCTCTCTCTCTCTCTCTCTCTGAACAGTAATTCTTCCCTCAGATTATGCATGTATGAACTAGACATTGAAGCATCCAGCCCAAAGTGAGAGGTTTAAAAAATATTTTCTTAGTCACCAAAGTACCATGTCTTTAAACATTTGATTTCCAGGGGGGCAGTGCGGGCCATGAGGAAGGCCAAAAAGAGTCTCACTCCCTGGGTCAGAAAGCTCATAATTAGCTGGGTCATCGCAAGCACCAGCACCAGTGTAGATACTACCATGACCTGGTAGTATATGAGGAGCTGTAGGTCACGGGGGCATTTGCCAAAGTCGTAGGAGAAAGCAGTTTAGGGACAGGGACTGCACGTCAAACTAATTGCCAAATGTATCCAAAGAGATTAATTAATGAATTATCTGAATTAATGAATACAATGAGGAGCAGGTTACAACATTCTGGAACACGTGATGTTATAATCAGATTCTTCTATTACATCATGTTGGGTCCATATCTTGTGTATGTTTGACAGTGAACAGTAAACCCAATTCACTTTTACAAAGCACAGCTAGCCAACTAGTAGTTTGACTTGTAATTTGTACTGCCTACTTTTGAAAGACAATTTCTTTAATCAAAATGGCACAGCTCTCCCAGAAGGGTGGGCTGTGCAACATGAAGATGTTATTGTTGACTGTTATTTTCTGTCTCCTTTCGCCTGTTGCTGCAAATGTGTTGGTGTCTTCAGAGCACAAGACTTTGATGCCAGTGAAGGACCACCCTATTCTGAACAACCCTGATGCTACAAAAGAACAAGTTGATAGTTTACGGGTGAAAGGACTATTCTTCTCCAGGTAATGTGGGCCAGTTGACAAAAGGATATTCCTCAAAAAATGTCAAAGACCCCCCGGACTTTGTAGAGCCCCTGATTTCTGTTCCAGAGCACAAGCCGTTGATGCCAGTGAAGGACCACTCTGTTCAGAACAACCCTGATGCTACAAAAGAGACCAATTTTAAGTCATTGCTGGAACAACTTGAGAGTTTACGGGTGAAAGACGATTCTTCTCCAGGTAACGTGGGCCAGTTGACAAAGGGATATTCCTCAAAAAATTCTAAAGAGCCCTCGGAGCTTGTAGAGCCCCTGGTTTCTGTTCCAGAGCACAGGCCTTTGATGCCAGTGAAGGACCACCCTGTTCAGGACATCCCCAATGTTGCAAAATGGACCAAAATGGTGCAAGTGGACCAGATGCTGGAACAACTTCAGAGGATGAAAGATGATACTTTCCCAGGTAAAGCTAAAGTCCCACAGATGATTGTGGAGAAACGTATTCCTTATCTACAGGCTTACAAGCAAAAAGCATTGCAAGGTGACAACAACGTCTTCAAAGAAAATCTTCAGGCTCCAGCTCCAAAAGCTCAGAAGAGCACCCTGAAGATCAAACCCAGAGTCAACATATTGACTGACCCTTCTTACTCCGACCCACTTGTGAAGGTGAACCTGATTTTGGGGCTCGTTTTCTATGGCTTCATCGTAATAGTGGTTCTCTATGATGCTGTGAGAATCTCCAAGGAGGCTAGAAGGCGATCTGATGCTATTGCCACTGCCAGGTTGAAGAAAAGGGAACCAGCCACCGCTGAACCACAGACACTGGCATCCAGAGTTCGGGAGAGCATCTCTTCACGGTTTGGTTTGAAACAAGCATCATCCACACCACAGTGTGCCCCCATTTCTGACGATTCTGCAAAAGAGTTGCAGAAGTCAAAGGAGTTCATCTCCACTAAGGACAAATCTGAGTCGGAAAAGAGACCTGGAAAGAGTGCTGTCAGCCTGAGAGAGTGTGAGCCGCCTCTGCCTAGCATCCCAGATAACTTCCTTGTGCCTGACTCTGAGCCTGCCATCCAGGTGGCATTGAACCCATTCGACACCAAGCTAGCCAAAGTTGTATCTGACAATGCTGAGGCATCCAACTACGAGGCAACCGAGAAGCCCTGCTACACACAGTCTGGGCTCACTGAGGTTTGCGTCAATTAAGACTGAGGACTACTTCTTAAACCAAGTGATATTGAATAAAAGCTGCAGATATTACATCTCCAAATGAGATCACATGGAGACTGCCACCTTTGAAGACTTCCATTTTCTGTTTGTAATTTAATTTCTTTAGAATAGTAATAAAAATATATTGCATTTAAAACATATGTTTCAAGTTATTTTGGGGGTATTTTGATTTGTTGTTGTACTGTTGTGTTGTAAATGCAATAGGCAACATTATTTAATTTATAAAATACTATATTTTTCAGTGAAAAAAAAATAGTTAAACATTAGAGATTCTTCTGTACTTTTGTATACTTTTTTGCCAGTAGTTCTGAAAGTAGCACTCACGAGCCAAAAGTGTTCCCCGAGAATTGCGTACTACGTCACATATGTGCAGATACAGTGCCTTCAGAATGTATTCATACCCCTTGACTTAATCCACATTTTGTTGTGTTACAGCCTGAATTCAAAATGGATTAAATAGATTTTTTCTCACCCATCTACACAACATACAGAAATATCTAATTTGCATAAGTATTCACACCCCTGAGTCAATACATGTTATAATCACCTTGTCACGCCTTGGCTCCGGGGACTCTAGTATGTAGAGCCAGGGTGTGAGTTTTCATTCGTTTATGTTCTAGTTGTTGTATATCTATGTTGGCCAGGGTGGCTCCCAATCAGAGACGGCTGTAGCTCGTTGTCTCTGATTGGGAGTCATACTTAGGTAGCCGTTAGGCATTCATTATTTGTGGTTTCTTGTTCTTATTTGGTTTGTGTTCAACCGTAGACATCACGTTTTCGTCTGTTGTTTTGATCGTGTGATCATACTCTAATAAATATAAATATGTTCACCTTCAACGCTGCGCATTGGTCCTCCTCCTTAGACGATCGTGACAGAAGAAACCACCAGAACTGGACCAAGCAGCCTAGTGAGGAGCAGAGAGGGTGGACTTGGGAACAGTGGAGGAAGAGCTTAGACTGGGTCAAGCCGAATGAGGAGCTGAATGGCGGAGATTGGAAGCAGAAGAGCGAGAGTTGGGCGAGAATTATAGAGGCCTGGCCCACGGGGAAGAGAGACTCCCAGAAAATTTTTAGGGGGGGGCTCACGACGTCGGGGCAGCAGGAGGCCGCGATAGAGCGTCCCAGCGGGTTGCCAGAGGAGGCCGCCAGGTTACGGGGGCCACTGGTCGAAGAGGGGATGGTGGATGTAGAGGCACGGCGAGAGGTACTGGCGTGTGTTGCCAGTCCGGTCCGGCCTGTTCCTGATCCCCACGTAGGGCCAGTGGTGTGTGTTCCCAGTACGGTCCGGCCTGTTCCTGCCACTCGCACCAAGTCTGTGGTGCGCGTCGCCAGCCCAGTCCGGCCCATTCCTGCTCCCCGCACCAAGTCTGTGGTGCGTTTCGTCAGCCCTGTCCGGCCCGTTCCTGCTCTCCGCACCAAGTCTGTGGTGCGCGTCGCCAGCCCGGTCCGGCCCATTCCTGCTCCCCGCACCAAGTCTGTGGTGCGTTTCGTCAGCCCTGTCCGGCCCGTTCCTGCTCTCCGCACCAAGTCTGTGGTGCGCGTCGCCAGCCCAGTCCGGCCCATTCCTGCTCCCCGCACCAAGTCAGTGGTGCGTTTCGTCAGCCCTGTCCGGCCCGTTCCTGCTCCCCGCACCAAGTCAGTGGTGCGCGTCGTCAGCCCGGCACGGCCCGTTCCTGCTCCCCGCACCAAGTCAGTGGTGCGCTTCGTCAGCCCGGTCCGGCCCGCTCCTGCTCCCCGCACCAAGTCAGTGGTGCGTTTCGTCAGCCCGGCTCGGCCCGCTCCTGCTCCCCACACCAAGCCAGTGGTGTGCGTCGTCAGTCCGGCACGGCCCGTGCCTGATCCACCGGTGGCGGGTCCGGCACCGGTCAGGTGCTGCGTCATGCCGGAGCTAGAGCAATCCGCTCCACCAGTGTTCAGTTCAGCTCTGGTCAGCAGGGCCAGACCGGACCAGGGGTACTTTGGGGGGTTAGAGAAGGAGTGGGGGTCATGTCCGGAGCCGGATCCGCCGCCGAGGCGGAGTGCCCACCCGGTCCCTCCCCTGTTGTATTTGGTTGGCGCGGTCGGAGTCCGCGCCTTTAGGGGGGGGTACTGTCACGCCCTGGCTCCGGGGACTCTAGTATGTAGAGCCAGGGTGTGAGTTTTCATTCGTTTATGTTCTAGTTGTTGTATATCTATGTTGGCCAGGGTGGCTCCCAATCAGAGACGGCTGTAGCTCGTTGTCTCTGATTGGGAGTCATACTTAGGTAGCCGTTAGGCATTCATTATTTGTGGTTTCTTGTTCTTATTTGGTTTGTGTTCAACCGTAGACATCACGTTTTCGTCTGTTGTTTTGATCGTGTGATCATACTCTAATAAATATAAATATGTTCACCTTCAACGCTGCGCATTGGTCCTCCTCCTTAGACGATCGTGACACACCTTTGGCAGCAATTACAGGTGTGAGTCTTTCTAGGTAAGCCTCTAAGAGCTTTGCACACCTCGATTGTACGATATTTGCACATTATTATTTAAAAAAAGCTCTGTCAAATTGATTGTTGATCATTGCTAGACAACCATTTAAGTCTTGCCATATTTCTTATTTGTAAAAAAAATTACCCCCTTTTTCTCCCCAATTTCGTGATATCCAATTGCGATCCAATTACAATCTTGTGTCATTGCTGCAACTCCCCAACGGGCTCGGGAGAGGCGACGGTCGAGGAATGTGTCCTCCGAAACGTGACCCACCAAACCGTGCTCCTTAACACCCGCCCACTTAACCCGGAAGCCAGCCGCCTCAATGTGTCGGAGGAAACACTGTTCCTTGCCATAGATTTTCAAGCAGATTTAAGTCAAAACTGTAACTCGGCCACTCAGGAACATTCACTGTCTTCTTGGTAAGAAACTCCAGTGTAGATTTGGCTTTGTGTTGTAGGTTATTGTCCTGCTGAAAGGTGAATTAATCTCCCAGTGTCTGGTGGAAAGCAGACTGAACCAGGTTTTTGTCTAGGATCTTGCCTGTGCTTAGCTCCATTCCCTTTCTTTTTTATCCTGCAAAACTCCCCAGTCCTTAACGATTACAAGCATACACATAACATGATGCAGCCACCACTATGCTTGAAAATATGAAGAGTGGTACTCAGTAATTTGTTGTATTGGATTTCCCCCAAATATAACGCTTCACTATGCTTGAAAATATGAAGAGTGGTACTCAGTAATTTGTTGTATTGGATTTCCCCCAAATATAACGCTTTTGTATTCAGGACAAAAAGTGAATTGCTTTGCCACATTTTTTGCAGTATTACTTTAGTGCCTTGTTGCAAACAGGATGTACAGTGGGGAAAAAAAGTATTTAGTCAGCCACCAATTGTGCAAGTTCTCCCACTTAAAAAGATGAGAGAGGCCTGTAATTTTCATCATAGGTACACGTCAACTATGACGGAAAAATTGAGAATTTTTTTCTTGAAAGAAACAAGATGTTATGTTTTTAGACTCACTTTTCTATCCGTCACCTCTTCCCCTAAGGCTTCAATCACGCCCGAGCATTCCATCCCGGGCGTGACGGGGGCGGCGACGGCAGCAGCTCATACAACCCCTGTCTCCCCAACAACTCGGTGAAGTTCAGACCACACGCCTTGACCCGCACCAGCACCTCTGCGCTCTTCAGGCTTTCCCTTTTTCATCTGGAGCTTCACTTTGTCATAGCCTCCATAGCCCGTTAGGAACAAAGCACGATAGGTGAAAACTTCCTCCTCGGGAGCCACAGGCGCTTTGTCCGGGGTAGCCGCCGCAGGCTCGTCTACTGGCTCTTCCGCGGGGGATGGCTCACCCTCTTGGGCTGCCTCCGATGGAGGTTCCTCAGTAGGTGGGTTCTCTGTCTTCTCCTCTGTGGGTTCTTGCTGCTGTTGTACCGGTGCCTCTTCGCCAGACATGATCGGGATCACGAAAATAGCCTATTTTTCTCAATGCGCTTTTTTTTTTTATAGTTCTGTTTCTAAGGTTTACCTGATAGCCTAAAAAAATACCTTACAGAAGAAGTTGCAGTACAATTATATATTTTTCGTAAACTAGCCTATTGCAGTGCACAATTCCACTGTAAAAATATAGATAGCCTATTACAACAGGTTAAACCAGGAGGTGATTTTCGTGCGTACACCCTAGCCAGGAAAGTGACAGACCTCTACTTCGCAATGGAGAGCAGTGCGCAGTCAGACGGGATGTGGCCACTGTTAAATGCCGGAAAGTGGATTTTTTGTCAGAGGAGGGGAGCGAAAGAAAGAGGTCGTCGGAGCTCGCTTAGCAACAGGTGGCGTTGCCATCAAGGTGCATGGGGCTCACAGGCCTATGTCAACAGTGATATAGAAAGGATGATGACCAAAATATAGCCTAGAGATAGAACAAGAAGACCAATTTTCAACAAGCTTAAACATTTTGGTCTACTTTTGCAATCTATTATTGATCTCAAGACATTCGGTTCTCTGGAAACAACAATAGGCCTACTGCAGAAACAGGCACATTTTCAATGACATTGTGTAAAAAGACAATTAGAACCAGTGTGGAACCATTGACATAATGAAACCCGTAGTCATGAAAGTTGTTGTGTTGTCCCAGTCTGTGAAACAGGAAGTCACTATATGGGTGATAAAGATGTGGCCAAGGGGGCATGGCAGGAAATGCCTGAGTTAATAGAGAGCTGCCATCTTTCACTTCCATCTCCTCTGGTTTGTAGGGGTCTGATTGAGGGGCAAAAAATCCACCACAAAACACCAGAACATTGCCAAAAAGAGTTGAACCAGCTCACCTGCTTTTACACTATGGTTTGACTATTATATGTTCAATGTTCATTTTGAAAATATATTTTAAAAAGGAATAGTTTCACCATATTAAACCGAGAGTTCAGTTCACATAACAGGGTTGACCTTAAAATGAGGGACAGACATAAATTAATCATTAATCACACGAAATAAACAATAATCTTCAGAAATGACTTTGTCAAAGCAAGAACATAACTAGGGGGTTTGCAATGATGGTGAAAACTTGGGAGACGTTTTGGGATTAAGTGGGTCAAAATTCAAAAGGCACTCGCTGTCTTTGTTGCAGGTGCATGGTAACAATTGAATAACATGAGAGAAGAAATAAGAAAACCTCACACTGCTCTTGCTAGTATCACTTCTCTTTATTATTAAGCTTGCTTTTGGGCTTAAAATGAGTAACAGTTCTTTGTTGGGTTTCTAAGCCAGAAACAGTATTTTGGGAAAAAACATGTTTAAGTTTAATTTTGCGAAATAATTTAAACAGATCTACTTTCGTATCAAAGGGTTTGTCTGTACATATAGGTACAAAAGAGAGGCCCGTAGATAAGACTGAGACTTGTGCGTCAGTGAGCTCTTTTTTGGAGAGGTTAATCACCGCGTGCTGCTGTAGCTCCGTGTCCACCGCCTGTGGGTAAAAATATTCATAGAAGTCGGAAAAATATGGACGAGTGACATGTCAGAATGCAGATGTTTGGCACTTTAGCAAATAAAATCGGATTTATTGAATGTATTTATTGACGACAACATACACTATATATACAGAAGTATGTGGACACCCCTTCAAAGTCGTGGCTTCGGCTATTTCAGCCACACCCGTTGCTGACAGGTGTATAAAATCGAGCACACAGCCATGCAATCTCCATAGACAAACATTGACAGTAGAATGGCCTTACTGAACAGCTCAGCGACTTTCAACGTGGCACCGTCATAGGATGCCACCTTACCAACAAGTCAGTTCGGCAAATTTCTGCCCTGCTAGAGCTGCCCCGGTCAACTGTAAGTGCTGTTATTGTGAAGTGGAAATGTCTAGGGGCAACAAAGGCTCAGCAGTGAAGTGGTAGGCCACACAAGCTCACAGAACACGACCGCTGAGTGCTGAAGCGCAGAAATTGTCCTCGGTTGCAACACTCACTACCGAGTTCCAAACTGCCTCTGGAAGCAACATCAGAACAAGAACTGTTCCTCTGGAGCTTCATGAAATGGGTTTCCATGGCCGAGCAGCCGCACACAAGCCTAAGATCACCATGCCAAGCGTTGGCTGGAGTGCTGTAAAGCTCGCCGCCATTGGAAATGAGTTCTCTGGAGTGATGAATACATGTAGTGAATATTGTGTACATTGCTTTGTGCATTGTCTTGTGCTCCCACCTGCAGCTGAATGGATGTCATGGCATTCTCTTTGTCAAGGATGCGCACCAACAAGTCAATGGAAAGAATGGCCTTTGGAAGAAAATAGCTCCATGTAGCTTATCGCCTCTCCTCGAGTGTGATATTACAATGTCTGTCTACACGAGATGGAAAGTATTCTTATCCCTTTTCTCAAAACACATTTAACTCATGTATGTCCTGGCCTCTATGGTGTAAGCTACAATGTGGGACCCAAGTCTGACAGTCCAAGTCTGACAGTCCAGTCCTGTTCTGTAATAGGCCCATATGAAAATGTATGCACGTACTACTGTAAATCGCTTTGGATGAAACCGTCTGCTAAATGGCATATATAATATAATACAAAGTAGGATTTGAGTTGGACGCTCAATATTCTTGTATGCCCTCTCTCACCAGAAGATGGCGATAGAAACCTGGTCATTGTGTCAATGCAAGACCAGTGCAGATGTGTTGCGTCTGACCGTGATCTCAGAACACGGAACTAAATCTCTGCAGATGTTTGGAGAGATTGCCCTGTAGACCAGAGGTGTCATGAAGGGAGCACTGATGAAGATAATTGTGTAGATATTAATTTTATAATCACAGAATACTAAACCTCTACTGGATTCAGTATGCCACTCCTTTTTCACGGCATGGCATTTGTGTTAACCACAACGAGCACCAACCACTACTGCCAAGTATGGTAAGGTTTAGTCAACTCTTAAAAAGAGAAATCGCCAGGAGATTACAGTATGAGAGAGAGAGGTGAGAGAGATAAATGTGTGTGTCTGAGAAAGAGAGTGTGTGTGTCTGAGAGAGAGAGCGAGAGATAGCATTGGGGTATGTGTTCTTGTAAAGGGGGGATTTATTTCACAAACAGGGGGGAAAAAACTATTCTACAGATTTGATCGAAGGTGTTGTTGATGGATGATTATGACATAATCCCAAACAGTTGGCATGCAAATAAACATTAGCTCCTCAGTCCTTCTCATTGGGTGTTAGTGGCTGATGGGCGGATCTAAAGAGGAAAGTGAAAACACAAACTCAAACTCTGTCAGCATCCAGCCGTGGCAAGCAGGCACATTGTGGAGTAGGCTATGCAGCCGCGCTAAAGAGTTATTCAAATTCTGAGTCTGACAGTCAAAGCTTCCGGAAGGCATACACACGGAGGAATACAACTGAAAACAGGGAGGAAAATCTCACCTCACCGGTATCTGCTTTCTACACTTTGACTTTGGGACTATTCTGGAGTGTAGCTAAATGAAAAGGAGGCGACGTATCATAACCAAATAGACCGCACTATGGAGAGCAAGGGCAGCCGCTGTAAAATCGTGGTGGTCGGCGACACGCGATGTGGCAAAACATTTTACATTACATTTTAGTCATTTAGCAGACGCTCTTATCCAGAGCGACTTACAGGAGCAATTAGGGTTAAGTGCCTTGCTCAAGGGCACATTTACGTCATTTAGCAGACGCTCTTATCCAGAGCGACTACAAATTGGTGCATTCACCCTATAGCCAGTGGGATAACCACTTTACAATTATACTTTTTTTTTTGGGGGGGGGGGGGGGGGGGGGGGGGTAGAAGGATTACTTTATCCTATCCCAGGTGTTCCTTAAAGAGGTGGGGTTTCAAATGTCTCCGGAAGGTGGTGAGTGACTCCGCTGTCCTGGCGTCGTGAGGGAGCTTGTTCCACCATTGGGGTGCCAGAGCAGCGAACAGCTTTGATTGGGCTGAGCGGGAACTATGCTTCCGCAGAGGAAGGGGAGCCAGCAGGCCAGAGGTGGATGAACGCAATGCCCTCGCCTGGGTGTAGGGACTGATCAGAGCCTGAAGGTACGGAGGTGCCGTTCCCCTCACTGCTCCATAGGCAAGCACCATGGTCTTGTAACGGATGCGAGCTTCAACTGGAAGCCAGTGGAGTGTGCGGAGGAGGGGGGTGACGTGAGAGAACTTGGGAAGGTTGAACACCAGACGGGCTGCGGCATTCTGGATGAGTTGTAGGGGTTTAATGGCACAGGCAGGGAGCCCAGCCAACAGCGAGTTGCAGTAATCCAGACGGGAGATGACAAGTGCCTGGATTAGGACCTGTGCCGCTTCCTGTGTAAGGCAGGGTCGTACTCTCCGAATGTTGTAGAGCATGAACCTGCAGGATCGGGTCACCGCCTTGATGTTAGCGGAGAACGACAGGGTGTTGTCCAGGGTCACGCCAAGGCTCTTCGCACTCTGGGAGGAGGACACAACGGAGTTGTCAACTGTGATGGCGAGATCATGGAACGGGCAGTCCTTCCCCGGGAGGAAGAGCAGCTCCGTCTTGCCAGGGTTCAGCTTGAGGTGGTGATCCGTCATCCATACTGATATGTCGGCCAGACATGCAGAGATGCGATTCGCCACCTGGTTATCAGAAGGGGGAAAGGAGAAGATTAGTTGTGTATCGTCAGCGTAGCAATGATAGGAGAGGCCATGTGAGGATATGACAGAGCCAAGTGACTTGGTGTATAGGGAGAAAAGGAGAGGGCCTAGAACTGAGCCCTGGGGGACACCAGTGGGGAGAGCACGTGGTGCGGAGACAGCTTCTCGCCACGCCACTTGGTAGGAGCGACCGGTCAGGTAGGACGCAATCCAGGAGTGAGCCGCGCCGGAGATGCCCAGCTCGGAGAGGGTGGAGAGGAGGATCTGATGGTTCACTGTATCAAAGGCAGCAGACAGGTCTAGAAGGACAAGAGCAGAGGAGAGAGAGTTAGCTTTAGCAGTG